TATGAGTTCAAGGCCAACCTGGTCTACCTAGTGAGTTCCAGGTCAGCTGAGGCTCTAGGGAGACCCTGTCTCAAAAAACAAAAAAAAAAAAACAACTTGTCTCAACAAATATATATATGTACATATATGTATTTGAAATTAATGGATGATAAGGGATAATTTAGCAAGGTTTGCTATTTAGAGGCTCTCTCTGGAGTGGGAAGGATCTAGTATTTTCTACACCATGATGATTCTAAGCCTGCTCTGGGGCAGATGGGGGAGGAAAGGGCACAGAGCTTTGGGGGAGCTCTTATCATCAGCTAAAAATAATCCTCTGTTGACACAGCACATATTGAGGTGACAATCTGTTCACCTGCAGTATATATAGTCCCACCTTCAGTTTCAGTTGCTCCAAACATCAATAGCAGTAGGAATAGTCTGTCTTATTTTTTATTTTAGTCTTTCTAATGAGTCTACACCCACTGTGGTCTGAACTGCATTTCATTACATCTTTTCCTATACCCACTAGGTATATAGGTAGAAACTCATATGTCATTGGTGTCTGTTCTTCCTGCCTCCACCTCCCAAGTACTGGAATTACAGGCGTGCACCCCCACACCCTGCTCTGGGCTGAGTTCAAAGCTAACAGCCTGCAAGAGGCAAGAGAAGAAGAGGCTAGCAAAGGCTGGGACAGATAGAGGACTTGCTGGTTCAGGCTGCTTTGAGACTAGCATGCTTGGTATGGGGGAATGAATGAGGTAAGCTCTCTCTGCCAGATAGGTGAGCTGGGCCAGATCTCAGAGGGCCAAGTGCGCCAGGATAAAGACCCTGAACTGTGCCCCGAGGGCAGCTGGGAATGAGTGAAGGATGCTGACCAGGAGTGGGCAGCCTCCTCTGTTGCCTTCTCTGTGAAGCCAGAGGGCAGGAGGAGGAGAAGCTAAAAATAAGGAGAGGGAAGACATTCTGGTGGGCTGTCCACACACTCCTGTGGACTCTGGACTCCACAGTGTTGCTTGCTGAGCAGCAGGTTAATTGTTTGTCCAGACTTACTGCTTTGGGCCACTCTTTCATGAGGAATGCTCTTCTGCCCCTACATGTGTGGCTAACACACATCCGCCTTCCTGTCACAGGGCGTCCATCTTATGGAAGCTCCTGCCACCAGGATTCAGTGTCCTGGAGTCAAATTGTGAATTTGCTTTATGCTTTGGGCTCTCCTCCTTGCTGAATTACACAGTCGGTTTGTAGGCTGCAGATGTCTACTGGGGCCCTTTACCTTTCAGGATGGGGACCCGTCCCCTCCTTGTCTGTATGGGGCATGTAGTGAGGTCCCCTGCTTGTGGATACCCAGACAAATGTCTCTAATCCCCTTACTGTCATTTGGCTGGGGCAAAGGATGCGTGCGCGCGCGCGCACACACACACACACACACAAAGGACCCCAGCTCCCCGCTCCCCCCATCCCCCCCCCACTGTGGTCTGGACTTTGTTTTTCACAGTTAGCAGCTTGGAAGCAGAGCCCAAACCACTGCTGTACTGCGGCCCCTGGGGAATGCTGAGTCGCTATTTCCACATCACAGGCAGCTGCGTTTCTGCTGTGTCATGGTTGGGAGGGGGGACTGCACACAAAGGGAAGGCAGATTTTGCTGAGTCACGGTTTCCGCAGCCTCTCTCTGGGTGCTTGGTGAAAGGGCAGCTTTAACCCCAGGCAGGAGGAAGTGAAACTTCTAAAAAAGGGTAGAAGCCTCTTGCTTAGTTCTAAATGTGCACATTGTTTTCAAAGCCCTGTGGAAAACACCTCCAAACAGACATGCCTACCCCAGAGCTGCTGCTGTTTTCCCCCATACCTCCCAGTTGCAGGAGAGTGACAATTCCATCTTCCTAATTGCGGGACCCAAAGCTTTGGAGTTACCCTGACTCCTCTTCTTAGTTCTTTACTATACTGAAATTCACCATGGGAGCCTGGGAGATGGCTCTGGATGTAGAGGACCAGGTACTCCTGGACTACAGGGTCTCCGTCTTTCTAGATTCTTGAGTTTGCCTGTGTACCTTGGCTTGGGGCTGCATCCTCCGTTTCCACAGGTGGCAGGACGCCTTCCTGTTCCCCTCTGTCCTTCTCTTCCCTCATCCATCACCTCTTGAATCTGGACCCACTGGGCCCTTTGTGATAACCCAGGGCTCACAGGGATGATCCAGGACAGTCACCACCTCCTTAGTCACTGACATCTGCAACTGTCCCAGGTCCTGGGTCAGGGTGTAGACATCTTTGAGGAATGGATATTCACCCAGTCATAGCAGAAGGAAGGAGAACAATATGGATCCTTTGGTTGTGTCAGGCAAGGGAAGTTGGGGAGCTGAGTCAGCATGGGCACAGACCATAGCTCAGCACAGAGGCAGAGGGTAGAATGGAACCAGGACAGCTTGGTCTGGCCGCCTCTGTGTAATCTCTCTACCTATATCTGTCCTCCTGGGGAATGGGACAGGGCTGGAAGTCAGGAACTCCGTGTCAGTGAAGGCTGTGTCTAATGGCACAGCCTGGATCAGTGCCTCCTTCTTTGGATTTCTCTGCTCCCCTTGTTAAGATGGGGATGGATCACACGGGCTTGATTTTCTGGGCTCTTGGCCTCCAGACTTTTCTCTCCCACCTAAACTCCTGGACCCTCTATGAAAGGGCTTAGAATGTGCTGGGCAGGAGGGAGGTCTGCCTTCCTACTACCAGGGTTAGAAGTCAGGCTTTACCATCTCTACAGCTGTGCGATGTAAGGAAATTCCTTGACTTTTCTGTTCCTTATTGGAACAGAGTAGAGAAAATAGAGACAAAAACGGTGATTGAACAATCTTGTGGGCCGCTGTCAGGATCAGATGGCTTCTATGCAGAGCGAGAGCTCCACAAAGGTTGGCTGGGATTGCAGTTTGTGACTACTTGGTCCCAGCCTTTTCTGGCAGTCTAGTGACATGACAGCTAAACAAGAGCATCCTGCTTCCAGCAAGAGCCCTTGTGTGGCTGACTCATTGTTGCAGTCCTTATTAACTGACTGCCGCCTGCCAGGCAAGGTCCAGCCCTGGGCAGTCACAAAACAGAGTGGACAAGGCCCTGACCCTTTGCTTTTCACACCACCTGGGGGAAGGATGGTCCCTTCCAGGATACCTAGTGGTTGGCTGTGGGTATAGCCACTAATCCTGTCTACACTGCTGTTCTCAGGCAGAAGACATGCCACCTGCTTTCCAGGGAGTGTGGACATCTTCCTGCCACGCTGAGTTCACACTTTATCTTAAACTCTGCCTCAGTTTCCTCATTTGTAAAGCCATGCTAGAACCTGTATCATTTCAGTGGCTTTCTTGTGAGGGTGAATGGAGTTGGCTGCAAGGGCTATGTCTGCATGCAGGAGGACTCCAGTTGCTGTAAGCTGAGATTCTGTTGTTACTGCTTAGCACAGCCAAAGTGATAACACACTTTACCAAGCACCACAGACTCCTGGGCTCAAGTGGGTGAGAATCCACCATCCCATTCTCCCAGGTTTGGGAATCCACTCTAGACAGCTGGTCTCTGGTCTGTGACTCTCCTTCCCTCCTGGACAAGGGCAAGAATTCATTAGCAAAAGTCACCTTGTACAGAAAAACGGGAAGTGCAGCATAGGAAAGGGGCTTTCAGGAACCAGCCAGGCCCTTTGTGTGTTCCCTGTCCGGCCTTGAGGGGTCTACCTCATTCAGAATTCAGTAGGTAAATGGTGAGGTCCTGCCCTGCTCAACCCCAGTAGGCATCTGGGATTAGAAAGGCATCAGAGCAATGTGCCTTGGGTGTCTGTTCCAAGCAACAGGTCATCATGGTTCGGTGTGGACTCAGTGCTAAGAGAGCTTCTCAGTTGACAGGATGGTGCTCTGTGTGTGGTCCTGGGTAGTACACATCATCTCTCAGCCTCAGTTTCCCCATCTGTAAAACAAGGAAGAGTGGAGGGATGAGCGATGGAAACAGTTAAGTCTCCACAGGCATCTGAGTGTACATTTAGAGGCGGTGAGGAGGTAGGCAGTCCTCAGGGTTCTGAGGCCCCAGGCCCGACCTAGGGCTCAGGCAGATCAGTCCCTGCAGTGGCCAGTCAGCCTCTTGATGACAAGTACTGTCTCCTAGTTCTGGAACCTTCCAGATTCCTGGGGGCTGCCTCCAGTCACTAAGTAGAGGGCTCTGGAAAGGACAAAAATCATGCCTAGAGCCCAAAGGCAGCTAAGATTTCCGCTTTTTTTTTTTTTTCTTTAAACGTCCCATAGCCCTGCTTTGTTTGCCAGGGTCATATGACTTCCTCCCCCCACCCCTCCCGCAGGCAGGCCAGGCCGGCCCACGCCTGGAAGGCGGGGTGTTGCAACACCCCGCGGGAACGCGGGCTCAGCTGGGCGGCTGCCACGTGACCTACCCGGAGCTTAAAAGGCTGGCGGGGCAGCTCCCCGACACCCGCAGAGCAGAACCGGACACAGCCAGGCTTCTTCAGCCAGCCCGCAGCCCAGCACAAGCAGAGGCAGCCTGAGCTAGCCCAGCCCCGCGATGGAGTGTCCACAGCCCACAAGGCAAGCCGCAGCATGGGGACGGGAAGTAGGGCCACCCAGCATCCTCTGTCCCGCCCGGGAATCGGGGGCTTCGCGGTCCGGGGATAGGCTACCGCCCTGCCCACCTGTAGCCGTGGGCACTAGGAGGGAGAGAAGGCGATGTACATCCCCGGCGCCCGGGGGTGGCCGGATGGGAGTGTCCCCGGAAAGCCAGGTTCGAGGGCACACGGCGCGGTCCCGGGCTCTCCTGGTGGCTGGGGGTGCTCACTTGTTGGGCAGCCCGGGGCTGGACGGGACCTTGGCTGTGCAGTTCATAGAGCAACTGCGAGGCCGGGGAGGCAGTGGGCTTGTGCTGCCCAGAGAGCAGATGTCTGAGCTGGGGTTTGGATGGTGCTCTGTCCGTCTCTAAGGCTGGGGGCTGGCGGTTTCTCCCAAGAATTTGGACAGGTCGGGAGCAGGCTCTGGAGGGCTGCAGGGCCGGGAAGTGATAATTGTGTGAGGGGGACACAGCAAAAACGCTCCCAGAAAGGGACTACTTCTTCATTCCTCTGTTCTTTTACAAAGCTAGTCTTATTATTTACTAAACTTTAAATATATATATATATTTGGTCTTCTTGAGACAGGGTCTCCTTGTAGCCCCAGCTGTCCTGGAACTCACAATGTAGACCAGGCTGGCCTCCAACTCACAAATCCACCTGCTTCTGCCTCCCAAGTGCTGGGATTAAAGGCATGTGCCACCACACCCAGCTTAAAAATATTTTTATTTTTATATGTATTTTATGTGTATGAGTTTTTCGCCTGCATGATATGTATACTACGTGTATGTAGTGTCTACAGAGGCCAGAGGAAGGAGTCAGATCCCCTGGAACTGGAGTTACAGTTAGCTGTCATGTGGGTGCTGGGAACAGTAGTATCTGGGTCCACTGCTAGAGCAGCAGGTGCTCTTAACCTCTGAGCCATTTCTCCAGCCTTGTTAGTCCTTTGGGGGCGGGGGTCTTTTTGAAACAGGGTTTCCCTGTAGCCCCAGCTGGCTTGGAAGTTACTATTTAGACCAGGCTGGCCTTGAGCTCACAGAGATCCACCAGCCTCTGCCTCCCAAGTGCTGGGACTACAGGCATGGGCCACCACACCTGGCCCTGTTAGTCTTTTTAAAATTTTTTACTACATTTTGTTTATTTGTTGTGGCAGGGAGGGGCGGGCTGTGACTAGAGATCAGAGGATAATTTATAGGAGGCAAAGTCTTGTCAATTGCCCCCAGGCTGGCCTGGATCTCTCAGTCTACCTGCCTTAGCCGCCCCAATAGTTGGGATAACAGGCAGGATTCTTTAAGTCACGCAGAATTTTTCATACATACTGCCTAATACAGATACTTTTATAACATGGGGTGAGGAGTGGTCATGAGATTTGTATCTGACCCTTTGGGTCTAAAGGTTCATCAAAGCATTCACCCTTGAATGTGGTTCTTGGACTGGTATGAGTTTTCCTCCCTGGGATCAGGAATAATGAGAGTAGATATTTCCCTAGTGTTTTGGGGGACTGCATCCTATAGTACTTAAGAAGGACTGCTGATTGTTTGCACAGGTGGGACCATGGCTTGCCCCAGATTGGAGCCTGGACCTATTTTACAGGTCCAGTCTGAGAAGGCGAGGTCCTGGAATCCTGGGCTTAACTTGGGGACAACCACTGGTGGTTGTCCCTCATTAACCCTTTCCCCTTCCTCTGCAGCATGTCCCAGGACTTGTCTGAGGCCTTGAAGGAGGCCACCAAGGAGGTGCATACCCAGGCAGAGAATGCTGAGTTCATGAGGAACTTTCAGAAGGGCCAGGTGACCCGGGAAGGCTTTAAGGTATGCGGCCTGGTGGGAGAGTGTAGTAGGTGTGCCCTAGCCTCAAGCCAATGGTTTAATGGGAGGTTAGGGCCAGGGATGCTGAGGGCTTGTCCAAGGAAATCATCTTACTAACCTTAACACCGAAGCTTTGAGAGGAAAGAAGACTTACTTAAGGTCATACAGTGAGTTCACAGCCTGCTCTGTAATGTTGATGGAGGAGCTCAGGCTGTGCTGTCAACTGTACCATCTCTTTGTTGATCACTCTATATACTTAGCCCTGACCCTGAGAAGAAGAGGGAAAGACTCAAAGGTTAAGAGGCCATACAACCTTCAGTTGAAAAGACCAAATCAAACAAAGATGGCCTAATTTCAGAGTTTGTGCTCCTGACCTAGTTCTTTTTCTGCTACTGGAATGGAACGCAGGGCCTTGCACAGGCTGGGCAGGTTCTCTGCCACTATCCCACACTCCCAGCTCTGGGATTATTGGACAGGGTCTCATGAGGTGGGAACTGTCAGTCCTCCTGCCTCAGGTTTCTGAGTCCTGGGACCACAGGCGTGTGCCACCACTCCCAACTCTTCTGACCCAATTCTAATTTGCCTCTGAAGGCAAGAGGAAGTATTTCTTAAAGGCTGCAGCACCCTGTCCTGTGAGACTGAGCTACCTCATCTAACCTCCTGAGCTTTGTTCTCATCTGAGAAATGGGGTGTCTACAGCAGGGCTTTCTTAAACACTCAGTGTACAGAGTAGTGTTTGATTTTGTCAACTCCTGGCACAGTTGTGAAATTGATACCAACAGAGGGGAAACATCCAGCAAAGAACCAGCTAGGTGTTGGGTGTTCCAGTGTCAGGAAAGGCAGCTTCAGGTTGGCCAGAGCCGTGGGGAAGGGGGAGGATCTGGGTCCCACCCTCCTAACTGTCTTCTTTGCACTTCTACCCTCCCCAAGCCCCACTTGATGAGCTAGGCCTCAGCCAGGGGAGGTCTTGCTTACAGGTCGGGGGCCCTAGTTGTGTCTTGTGGACACAAGCCCAGTTCCTATAATTTCACTGGGGCAACGGGAGCAGAGAGCTGGAATGTGCCGACCCAGGCACTTTAGGCTTTAGATCCTGCCTGTAAGCCATAGAATTCAAAGTGAGCTCCAGCCACTGAGGCAACCCAGGTTCATGTCTCTGGAGGCAGTGTTTGCCAGGCTGTACCTGAGCTTTGCTTAAAATGCCTCTCTGACCCTCACACTAGCCCGCATAGCACATGGCTGGATTGTCTCCTTAGGTAGAGGAGGGATCTGAAGTTTGACCTGTAGAATCACGCAAACCTAGGTCCATCTCCTGCTCTAGGTTGGGAAGCTGAGGCCAGAGAGGGCAAGTGTCTTCACTCACGTTCACACAGCTGAGCTGAGGTTAGGGATGGGTCTCCTGTACGCAAAACTCCTAGCTCTTTTATACCAGGTTTCCTGGCTCAGAAGTTGCTTAGAAATCTCAGCCCATCCTTCTTAACCTCATCCTCCCTGAACTCCAGCTAAGTGTTAAGCGTAACAGGAGTTTCCCAAGTGAGGTGTGTCCAGCTCAGCCCCCGAAGGTGGCAAGGTTACTACGCAGCCACCAAGGACACAGTACTCTGCAAGAAGTCACCTTACCCAGACCTTGGAGCAGTTTCTCTGGGTTCTGTCCTGCCTTTAGAGCCTTCATGGCTCCCTGAAGAGCCTTCGTGGTGACTTACCTATTTTTTACTTAGCTGTACAGCCTCACATCTCCTAGCCCTTCTGAGCCTTCATTTTCTTTGTAAAATGGGAAGAGGATCTTTAGGTGAGGCCATGTGTTGTACTCAATGGGTAGAAGAATTTTAGGATGAGTGCTCAGTGAATTTGGCGACTGTGGGTGGAAGGGAGTGCAAGGCAGTGTGGAACATAGACAGTGGGGGTCTTCAGGGGCTTGACAGGCTGATTCTGGTTTCAGCTGGTGATGGCCTCCTTGTATCATGTCTACGTGGCCCTGGAGGAGGAGATTGAGCGCAACAAGCAGAACCCAGTCTACGCGCCCCTCTACTTCCCTGAGGAGCTGCACCGCAAGGCTGCTCTGGAGCAGGACATGGCCTTCTGGTACGGGCCCCGCTGGCAGAACACTATCCCCTACACTTCAGCCACACAGCATTACGCGAGGCGCCTCCACGAGGTGGGACACAAACATCCTGAGCTGCTGGTGGCCCATGCATACACCCGTTACCTGGGAGACCTCTCCGGGGGCCAGGTCCTGAAGAAGATTGCACAGAAGGCCCTGAACCTGCCCAGCTCCGGTGAGGGCCTGGCCTTCTTCACCTTCCCCAACATCGAAAGCCCCACCAAGTTCAAGCAGCTCTACCGTGCACGCATGAACACTCTGGAAATGACACCGGAAGTCAAGCACAGGGTGATAGAGGAGGCTAAGACTGCGTTTCTGCTCAACATTGAGGTGAGCCCTGCTGTTCCTGTAAGCCACACTCCTGTCATTGAGGGAAGGTTCCAGGGTCATGGCTAAGTGCAGGGATTCAGGACTAGCAGCCTGTTCTACTGCTTACTAGTTGGTAACTTGGGCAAATAAATCTCTTATCTCCCTGTTCCTCAAGTTCTTCCTCTGCAAACTAGGGGTAGTAATCGCACCCATCTTCAAGGCGTGAGAGAAGATTGGTAACAGTGAAGTCCTCGCAGGAGGATTAGGCATAGGGTGAGCCCTGTGATGTCAGCTGCTGTTATTTTGTGGGAGTGACCATCATAGTGGTGGCATCCTGGGACAGCAGCGTAGTTGCAGATGAGGTGTGAGTGCACTTGTGCATAGCCAGGTTGGGGCTGTAAAGTTTTCAGGAGTTGGGCATGTGGCTTCTGCCTCCCAGGGACTCTCCACCAGCCACAGAGGCATCAGAGGGGGAAGGAAGGTCCCTTCAGCAAGTCCCTGAAGGATACATTCCTGGGTGGAGCTAGAAAGGCCCACAGGCATGGCTACAAAGTAGTGTCCTTTCAATTCCCCCAAATCCAACCGCTGCTAGACTTATCTTTGTCCTTCTGAGGGTTTGGTGGAAAGAATGAGTTTGGACACGGGCTCAGTTGAGAGCTGGCTTTCCATCCTGACTGCTGGTCAGTCTCAAAGCCCTTCTCCCTCAGGAGCTGTGGGTTCCTCACCTGCAAAAGCAGGCTAGTAAACACTGTGACACACCCCTTATGAAGGGTGAGCTTGCTAATGTGCCGCTGAGGAGACAGGAGGCTTCAGGCTGCATAGCCACCATACACACACTTTATGATTTCAGAGCAGGCAAATAGTTCTTTACATAGGGATACAAATAAGGTCATTAAGACTGACAGCGAACTCTAGATTCAGGACAGCTGTTTCTGGTGGGGACCGGGTGGCGTTATGGGCAGCGTTGGGGAAATGCAGGCAGGGGGGCCGAATGAACCCATCACATCATCTCATAGCTGGGTGTGTACGTTTTCTTAAGATCGTGTCATTTTCAGAGTATTTTGTAATGCACTTCAAGCCCTGCCTTTAGCTGGGACCAGCAGCGAGTCTCATAACTAACATGGCAGTATGTCTTGTTTTCCAGCTGTTTGAGGAGCTGCAGAGGCTGCTGACAAAGGAGCACCAGGATCAGAGCCCTTCAGAGATGGAGGGGCTTCGCCAGCGGGCTGGCAGCAGGGTGCAAGGTGAGGGTTCTCCCGCTGGCTCTCTTGGAGGGGATGTGGCCTAGCTTCCTGTGTCCCGAGCTTCTTCTTTGGTGTCTTCTGAATATTTTGAATTAGGACTAAGGTGGTGGTGCACACCTTTTATCCCAGCACTTGGGAGGCAAAGGCAGGTGGATCTCTTGAGTCTACATAGTGAGTTGCAGGCCAGCTAGGGCTGTCAAGTGAGATGTGGACTCAAAAAGCCAAAAAAAAAAAGGTGCAAACAAGGGCCCAGGGTCAGCCAGCAGTGTGTGACTAGTGAGTTGTCAGGCTTGTCTTTATCTCAGTTTCCCCACACTGAGAAATCAGGAGAGGTTGGGTTTAGTTTGTTCCTTACGTCAGAGGTACACAGAAATCCCTCGGAAGTCATTGGCAACCCCCCCTTCATTTACTCTCTTAAAAAGACATCATCACAGGGGCTGGAGAGATGGCTCAGCAGTTAAGAACACTGACTGTTCTTGCAAAAGACCTGGGTTCGAATCCTGGCATCCACATGGCAACTAACAACTGTCTATAACTCAAGTCCCAGGGGATCTGACAGCCTCTTCTGTCCTCCAACGGCATTGCACGACATGGGTGCACTTACCTACATGCAGGCATAACACTAATACACATAAAATAAAAATAATACATAAAATATTGGAAAAAAAAAAAAAAAAAAGCTCATGCTATGTTGCCCAGGCTGACCTTAAACACCAGACACAAGCAGTCTACCAAATAGCTGGGACTATAAGTGTTTACATTGTTAGACCTACTAAAGGCTCCAAGCAGGCCCATATGGTGCAGGGATTCTGGAAACCCATTTCCAGTACTGACCCTCCAGGCAACACTAAAAAGACGTAATTACTGGATCTTGTGTGTCACCTCCTCCCTTTGGTGCAGCTGCAGCTGTTAATGAAAACTTCTGGATTCTTTGAAAGAGACCAAATAGCAACACAAAATGTGCTCTCCCTGAGCCTGTCACCCCAGGGATAGAATGTGTCATAGGGAACAAGTAGCAGAAGAGAGGATCAGCAGGGCACATGATGTGTCGCCGTCTTGTTCAGTGCCACGCTAAAGAGGCTTTCCCCGCTGGACCCTGTCACCAGCACCAGTGCTGATAGAATTGGCTACCTGGTAGGGTGTGGCTTAGCTGAGCATGGAAGAGTGGGCAGCTTAGAGAGGAAGTGAGCTCCTGGCCTTGAAGGACTTCAAGCAGTGGTTTGTGTGTGGGAGGGATAACCGTGTTCTAGCAGAATCCCAGCCTTCACAGAGGCTGAGCCCCCTCATCTCTGTATATTTGTGATGCCAGAGACCCCAGGCCGTGTGTGTTTGACCTTGCTTGTCTTTCTCTTTCAGACCCCCCCACCCTTGCAGAGACACCCAGAGGGAAACTCCAGCTCAGCACTAACCTGTCCCAAGCACCCCTCCTCCGATGGGTCCTCACGCTCAGCTTTCTGGTGGCAACAGTGGCTGTGGGGATTTATGCTATGTGAATGCAAATGTGCTGACGCCCAGGGGCGGTGAACTGTGTCCAATGAAGGGCCTTTTCTCTGGAGAGGGGACTTCACCTCTCTTCTCATGGGCCATGAAACTTTCGAGACTCCTATCCTCTCCTTATGCCCTTCTCTCTCCGGAAATGGAGAGAGATGTTTGGTGCGTGTTCATCCACTGAAAGCACATCATGAACTTTCAAACCAGCAGCCCCAGTTCCTGCAGCAGAGCCCAGAATCCATGGCCAGCTTCGGTTGCTGTCCTGAGCCCCAGTGCCCTCGGTTGGCAGCATCCAGTGTCATGGCCTCCTTTATAATGTGCAGAGATGTTCTGTATTGTGTTTCTGTCTTATTTTTGTCGTTACCGGTTCCACCCGAACGGTGGTATTTTGTTGTGTTCTGTTTTTTTCTAACAGCGTTGGGTGTCTTTTGAGGGGTGGGGTGGGAGGTATTTAACAGGACTTGTAGCCTTGGTTTCTAACTTCAGTGTGAAATAATAAATGGCATCATCTGACAGTCACTGGAAGTGTCCTTGTGTCTGCTGTCCTTGGGGAAGGGCCCCATCTCTTGTTTATCTCCAGTGCCCGGCTGGAAGGCAGGTGATGATGGTATCAGCAGGAGCGGAGATGCTGGTTGTGTGTGAGATTGTGAGACTCGAACTTTAAGCAGTTGGGCAAATCATCTTATTGACTCCTGCTCGATGTAAGACTCACCCCTCTTTGTGAGCATATGTGTGTGTGTGCAGGTGCACATATGTGGGGGGCCAGAGGTCAACCACAGGTGTTACTCCTGAGGCACTATCCACCTTGTTTGCTTTTTGAGACAGGGTCTCCCTAGAGCCCGAGCTGGTCTGGAACTCTATGTAGACCAGGCTGGCTTTTCTCTCATCTTCCTGCCTCTGCCTCCTGAGTTGCTGGGATTAAAGGCATGTGCCACCATGCCTGAACACCTTGTTTTATGAAACAATCTCTCACTGGCCTGGAGTGCCCTGATGGGTCAGCAAGCCCCAGGAATCCTGTCTGCCTCCCTACAACCCTCCAAGCACGTCAACCATTCCCGGCTTTTCACACAGATGCTAGGCATCAAGCTCAAATCCCATGCTCATGAAGCAAGCACTTTACTGGCTGATCTATCTCCCCAGCCCCAAGACTCACTTTTACTGAGGGACGGGTATATTCTGGAGTGAAACTGATGTGCTCTGAATAATGACACTTAGGGCAAAAGTGGAGGGAGATGCCTGGGTTCAACTTCCTTTTTTAGTTTTTCATTTATTATATGCAATGGTGCGCATGCCACTGCACAGGTGTAGAGGTCAGATGACAACTTTGTAGAGTCACTTCAACTCGCAGAGATCTGCCTGTCCCTGCCTCCTGAGTGCTGGGATTAAAGGCATACGCCACCACTCTATCTACCTCTATCTACTCTTTATTTTATTTTATTATTATTATTATTATTATTATTATTTTGGTCTTTTTGAGACAGGGTCTCCCTGTAGCCCCAGCTGACCTAGAACTCACTATGTAGACCAGGCTGGCCTTGAACTCACAGAGATCTGCCTGCCTCTGCCTCCCGAGTGCTGGGATTAA